GGTCCTGCTGCGAGCGCTGAGCAGCACTTGAGCAACAAGAGGGGCGGCGGGCAGCACTTTTTCTCGGGAACCCCACCGCCTCTGACCCAACACGGGCATTCTTGCTCACCTCCTCCTCCTCCTGCTCCTCAAGTACCTTGCTCAATAGTAGTAACTGTGAGAGGACCTCGGAGTCCTAGTGGACAATCACCTAAATATGAGCATGCCATGTGCTGCAGCTACCATAAAGGACAACACAGTGCTAGGCTGCATTAACAGAGGGATAGAATCAAGATCACGTGAAGTATTAAGACCACTTTACAATGCCTTAGTAAGGCCACACTTGGAATACTGCATCCAGTTTTGGTCACCACGATGTAAAAAAGATGCTGAGACTCTAGAAAGAGTACAGAGAAGAGCAACAAAGATGATTAGGGGACTGGAGGCTAAAGCACATAAGGAACGGTTGCTGGAATTGGGTATGTCTAGTTTAATGAAGAGAAGGACGAGGGGGGACATGATAGCAGGGTTCCAATATCTCAGGGGCTGCCACAAAGAAGAGGGAGTCAAGCTATTTTCGAAGGTGCCTGAAGGCAGGACAAGAAGAAAGGGGTGGAAACTAATCAAGGAGAGAAGCAACCTAGAACTAAGGAGAAACTTTCTGACAAATTCTGCAATTCAAACAAAATCATAGGTTAGGGGTCGCCCCTTGGTTTGTTAGGGTGTTTCTCATAGAATTTATTAATGAGCCTCTCGGCTTTTACATCACTAGATTTTACCCACGTGGCTTCAGTCAAAGGGTATCCTTTCCTCTGCACTAAGTACTGTAACTTTCCCTGAAAAAGTCTAGAATCAAGAATAGGCTTCCATTTATAATGAGTCTGCCCGGCTGGCTACCAGGAGAGGCCCAGGTGCCTTCTTAGGGGGAGGTCCTAAGGTGGAGCCCCGAGACAGGCTCAGCAGTTAGCTAGAAACTATTTCAACACTTACCCGAAGAAGCCGAAGAGGTTGGCCACAAATGGTTCAGTTATAACAACTGGATTTGCAATCAAGAATTTTGCAAGTGAAGCCATTAGAGGAACAAGAAAAAGTAACGTGGCATTTTGCTTAAAGGTCCAGAGGAAAAAAGCTCCACCTTAGCATGTCAAAAAACAGCCCCAGAATTGATAATATAAAACCTTATTTTATTTTGATAAGTTTTTATGCCACCCATCTCACTAATACAGCAACTCTGCGTAAGCCACATTGTAATAAAAATTAAAAAGTTCTAAAAAGAAATGAAACTAGAATAAAGAGATTAAAAGTTAAGAACCCAGGTGGTGGACATTCTGGGGCTAAGAATCTTGTCTACACAATGAGACACCCCCAGGATACCCTACCCTGTTAGGGACCCAGGCTGAGTGGCTAAGCCAGGTTTTCAGGCTCTTCCAGAAGGCCAGGATCGTGTTTGTGTGTTTGTGTGTGTGTGTGGGGGGGGAAAATCTCACCTCTGATGGTAGAATATTATTGGGGGGGGGGCACAGAAGAAAAGGCTCTTCTCCTGGAGCCCAGCAACAGAAATTCTTTGGCCAATACGATCCAAATTAGGCTGCTTCCACTGGAAGGAGAGGCACCAGCTAGTCCCATTGGGGAGAGGCAGTTCTGCACATACCCCAGCTGCTCTAAGTGCACTCCCATGCTTATTATGGGATGTTACCCAGCTGCATTTGTCTTCAGCACATCAGGAACAATGATGAAATATAATGAAATTCTGATGTATTTAGGACTTACATTATTTTTATTACAAAGTTACAAATTTAATAAATAATAATAATAACAGAACCATGCAAGGCTGAATCCACCTCCCTCTCTTCATCTTTGTGAAAGGGAAGAAAGTCCTTAGGCCTGAGACCCTTCCTCAAATTTCATTTCTTCCTTGGACACAGTTTTTTTCATCTGGTCCTCACTTCTCTTGAGGCTCTTCCTCCTGTTTCCTCTTCCATTGTGTCACCATGGAGGTGCACCAGCAAATGGGGAATCTGAGGCACAACTGGAAGAGGTGCTCACAAGAGAACACAAAAGCAAAGGAAAAGGGGGGGGGGGGTTTGCTGGGTCAATGGTCCAAGGAAGGGAAAGGAAGGAGTGGATCTGCTGCCAGGAGGACCTGGTTGGAGATGAACAAGGAAGAGGCAAAGAGCAGAGCTGCTGCTTCCCTGGGTCTTCTCTCCCAAGACTCCAGATGGAGCTGGGCAGAATCACCAGCAGGAACCAGGAGACAAGAGGGTGGGAGGGTCGCAGAGACAGAGACAGAGAGAGGATGGGTGAGTTGAAGTCTCCAAGGCAGGTTGTCAGGAGTCTCAAAGGAGCTCCTGGGGCCATCTCAGACCCATCACATTTTAGTGCTTAGCAGGAGGATCAAGGGTTTGGGGTGACCCCAAATCAAAGTGATATTTTTTGACACACTGTCTGATTTAGTTGATAATGGGAATGCAGTGGACATTATGTACCTTCAGCAAAACATTTGACAAATATCAATGAAATCCTGGTGAAGAAGAAGGCAATCTGTGGCTGGCCTACACTACCATTAAATGGATAGACCCTGTGGAGAGATCAAACACAGCCAGGGCGTATTAAAGGCTCCAGATCTGATTGAAAGGAAGTGATGAATTGCAGGGCTTGTGCTGTTTGACATATTTATAATTCATGAATTATAATTAATAACTAATTAAGTTAGTTTAGGAGTTAGAAAACATTGTAATCAGTTTTGGACATGATACGAAATGGGGGGATGTAAAATACTTCAGAGGGCAGAATGAAGATTTCAAAGGATCTTTAAAAGCTGGAATTATGGGCAAAAATCAGGATGATTAATTTCAACAGGGATAAATGCAAACTCCAACATTTGTGTAGAAAGAAGAATCAAAGGCATGAATGCAGGGTGGCAGGTAGTATAGAAAACCCAATAAGGGATCCTGCCGAAGGAGGTTTACTATGGACCATCTGGGCAAGCAGAAGATAGAGGCCTGGTCTTTCTGCATCAGATGAGCAGAGAGGCTATCAGAGAGGCCGGCAAGAGTGATAAAGGGGGGGGGCAATTATCCGGGCATCCTGGTCCTCCCTTGCTGAGAACTTCATTTGGTGGAAGAAAGAGCAAGAGGAAATAGCAGCAGCCAGCTGGGTTCAGCACTTCAGAGCTCCATCTGGACCTTCTCAGGGCAGTCTCTTCTGCCCTCCCCAGGCTGCCCTCCTTTCCCCAAGCTTCACAGAGCTGCTGTGTGGGGCGGGGCAGGGCTCGTCTCAAAGGGGCAGGGTGGGGCCCCGGGATCAGGCCCGGAAGAGAGGCGGGAGGAGCAGAGCAGCAACGCTGGAACCCAGCTGGCTGCTGCTATGCCAATAAAAAAAGGCTTCTGTGGCCCCAGAAACGTTTCCCTCCCTTGTTTACTTGTTCCTGATGTGCTGAAGACACATGCAGCTGGGTAACATCCCATAATAAGCATTGGGGGTGCACTTAGTGAAGTTCTGGGGTATCTGAGGAACTCCTCACCCCAATGGGACTAATTGGCCCCTCTCCTTCCAGTGGAAGCAGCCGAATTCGGATCCCACTGGCCAAAGAATTTCTGCTGCTGGGTTCCAGGAGAAGAGCCTTTTCTGCTGTGGCCCCCCAAGAATATTCTACCATCAGAGGTGAGATTCCACTGCCCCCCCCCCAAACACACACAAACACAGTCCTGGCCTTCTGGAAGAGCCTGAAAACCTGGTTCAGTCGCTCAGCCTGAGGGGCTGACAGGGTAGGGTACCTTGAAGGTGTCTCATTGGGTAGAGAAAATCTTACCCCCAAGTTGTCCATCATCTTAACTTTTAATCTCTTTATTTTAGTTTCGATTCTTTTTAACATTTTGACTTTCATTTCATTGTAAGTCATCCAGAGTTGCTGTATTAGTGAAATGGGTGACATAAAATGTTATTAAAATTAAATGAGCTCTCAATCCAGGGGGTATTTTTTGACATGCTAAGGTGGAGCTTTTTGCCTCTGGGTCTTTAAGCAAAAATGCCATGTTACGTTTTCTTGTTCCTCTAATGGCCCCACTTGCAAAATTCTTGATTGCAAATCCAGTTATTATAACTGAACCGTTTGTGGCCAACCTCTTTGGCTTCTTCAGGTAAGTGTCGAAATAAGTTCTAGCTCAGTGGTTCTCAACCTTTTTAATGCCGCGACCCCAACCGGTCGTAAGTCGAGGACTAAACTGGTCGTACGTCGAGGACTAAACCGGTCATAAGTCGAGGACTAAACCGGTCGTAAGTCGAGGACTACCCAACCAGTCGTAAGTCAAGGACTTTCCCTGCCCGGGAGCGCCGCACATGCGTGGTTCCGCCCCCTGCGCTGGCCGAGGCGTAGCTGGGAAGCGGCAGAGACGGAGCAGGCCGACCACCAGCTGGCCCAGCCCAAGGGAGGTAAGGCACCCGCTGGAAAAGGGGAAAAATGGCGGACAAAAAAAATGGCGGACAGCCTTGCTTGGCGACCCCCGTGAAATGGTCGATCGACCCCAAATGGGGTCCCGACCCACAGGTTGAGAACCACTGTTCTAGCTAATGCTGGTTCTAACAATGACTCTGTCAAGCAAAGCTTGGGCCAAGTGATTAGGATGGAGCAGCTCTGGGTGAAGCTAATTCATGGCTCCTTTGCAAAAACCCTTTAAGGACTTCCTAATAAAATAATTGGTCAGATCCTCAGTGAATTAGCTGCAGGTTCCTAAAGTCTTCAAGGGCAAAGGCTGAGTAAAGTGCAGAACAGTAGTAGAGCAGTAGTAGAGACAAAGCTAACTCTTTACCCCAGAGCCCATACTCCAGATGGGGGTCCTACCCAGCCTCTCCTGGAAACCCGCAGACTGGCACCCAGGGAGCTTCTGAAAGACCAGGGAGGCCGAGGCTGCTCAGGAAAGCATTTTATTGGAGAAGAGAGTCTGATGGGAGAGGTAGGAAGGGTCAACCCCCCCCAAGGCCCCCCAAGGCAGAAACGGGTAAGCCTTGCTCTCTTCACCCTTTCACTTGAGGCGCCAGAAGGTGTCCGTACCAACGCTACAAAAAAGGAGGAGGGAGGGAAATGTCAAAATTCATATTGGCATGATTGGTGTCTCCCCCCCCAGGCTGAGCATCCCACCCCCACCCCATTCCCTGCTTCCACCCACTCACGTGATAAAAAAAAGGGGGGCAAAGGAAATGGATGCTGCAGGTTCTGGGGGATGGTGAGGGCCGGGTAGGTCCCCAGCCACGCATTGCAGGCCACGTGTGATGAGGGGAAGGACACTGACCCAAAGCAGGCTGGGCGAATTCTCCTGGGCCTTTGGGGTTCTCCCTTGAAGCAGCTCCGTCGAGGTGGCCAGAAAAGTGGCCTCTTTGGAGGGGAGCAGCAGAGCTGCAGGCCTTGTGCTCGCTCAGGGAAGGCACCCAGGTGGCCTCTTTGCCCCATACAAATATGGGGGCTGTGCTGGGCTACTGCTCTTTAATTTGAGTAGAGCAATAAAAGCCAACTCTCCAAGTGTTGCCAGCTGTGTGCAACCCAGACTGTGGTGCCACCCAAACCACACTTGTCAGTGAGAAGGACCTGGGGAAGCTCCTCAAAAGCTTTGCTGTGTTTCTTTGTGGGGGGAGTGGAGGAAACGGAGTCTCCAGCCTCTCCCACAGGAGCTCCTCAGCCCTGGGTCCAGAAATATCCCCCAGAGAGGCAAACCCGTTTGGGGCATCCTTTCAAGAGCCACTGAGGGGGGGGGGGAAGAGAGAGAAAAAGAAGAGGTGCCCAGGGCCCTTCCAGTTAGGGGGCACAGCAGTTCAGCCCCTGCGTTTCCTTACAGGGTCGCCTTCCAATCGTCTGCTGCGGATGTAACGTTCACACGAAGCAGCCAGATTGTCTTCAGCTGCTCCTCTCCGTTCTCGTCCACCAGACACTGGCCCGCAAAGATGGAGGTGGTTCCTGTCAGATCAAAGTTGTTGTACCAATTGGGGGGGGGGATATATTTCGCATAAAGACACCCCCCCCCCCGCTCACCAATGCTACCTATAGATTGGGAATATTTTATAAGCTCCAAAATATTTGGGCAGCTCCATCTGATTGGGGGGGGGGGGAGGAGGGAGGACATTCAGTGAAAGAAGCAGATCTAAGGAAGGGGCGATCCACTAGATTCCCTCCTCCCGTTCTGTTTGCTTCCACACCAAATAGTGAGTGGCTCTACCATCGAAGCTCCAGTTGACGGTGAAGCCAAAGACGGGCTGGTCCCACAGGTGCTGGACACCCACAAGCGGGGATGGCTGGATGGGCTGGCCAGAGCTCGAGACTGCCGTTTTGTACACGCCGCTGAAAACCCCCGTGTTCCTTACGAAGTAGATCTCCATGATGGAGCCGAGGTCATTCACCCAGCTGCCGCTCAGGGAGCACTAAAAGAGAGCGGGAGGGGGGAGGAAAGCGGCTCACGACGCTAGCCAAGCCCAGCTGTCCAACAGGTAGAGACTCTGCCTCCATTTTCTCCGGGGGATCTGAAAACACCCGCTGCTCCCACGTGCCCGACCCCCAAGGATGCCCACGCCGGGTCGGGCTGGCAAAGGCGGCCCATCCCAAAGTCCGTCGGTCGAGGCGCCTGCCAGACCGCGTCCGGGACGACACCCCGCGGGTGGATCGCTCTGCCAGCAGCGCAGCGAGCGAGAGCACCAGCCCCGGCGGCAGGCTGCCGAAGTCGCGGCCGAGCACGGAGGAGGACACGCTTGGCCGGTCGGCCGTCGGGGACCCAGGGCCTCTGGCGCTCAGCGCGACGGCACCGGTGCGATCAACCCCGAGGAAGCGGCACCCTCTGCGCAGCCCGGCGGCTCCCACCAGCTGCTCCTGCCGCCCACCCGAGCAGAGGCTGGTGTGTGTGTGGGGGGGTTTCCACACGGGCGGCTGGGACTCTCCGCCTCCCACCCCGCATCTGACCTCCGAGTTTTTGGGTTCGGCAAAGGTTCCCGAGCAGCCGAGCAGGAAAGCGAGGAGCCCCAAAGCTGCCAGGCCAATCGCCATGGTGGTCTCCAGGAATCTAGACGTGCCAGCCCCAGGCGGGACGCCCCTTATAAAGCCCCGCTCGCACCCGCTCTCCCCCCCCCTTTCAGCTGCCGCCTCCCTCCACCCCCCCCAGCGGCTGGGAGGGGCGGGATCCCCGTCCGAGGGGCGGAGGCTTCTGCGAAATCGCTGGTCCTGCTGCGAGCGCTGAGCAGCACTTGGGCAGCAAGAGGGGCGGGGGGGGCACTTCTTCTCGGGCACCCCACCGCCTCTGACCCAACACGGGCATTCTTACTCTCCTCCTCCTCCTGCTCCTCCTCCTCCTCCTCCTCCGCCTCCGCCTCCTCCTCCTCCGCCGCCGCCGCCGTCACCTCCCAGGACTGAGAGGACAACGCCGGAGGCAGCGAGGGCGACGGTTCCGTGAGTTCCGTTTCCATGCTGGCTCTGCTGGATGCAAGCAGGAGAGGCGGTCGTGCGGGCGGCGTGGCCCGAGCAAGGGTGCGGGGAGGGCTCGGCAGAGGCCAAGACGGCTCACGCGTGCCTGGCCAAGGATCCCTGGGCAACCGGGCTCTCCCACGGGGGAGTCGAGGGAACCCCCTCCGTCTGGGTGCTCTACGTCCAGCAGATCGTGCAAAGCCCTCCGGTAGGCTTTCTGCCGCTGGCTTGCGCGCCTTGTGGTGCGAAGGCCAGAGCCGCCTTGCCCGAGACGACCGCCGGCCTCCCGATCTGCCGGCCTGCGGGACAATTAGACTCTTTCCCGGCGCCCCGAGGTGCTTTTTCCTGCCGATGCGGCGAAGAGGGCAGGGCGAATTGGCGGCCGGGAGGGGCGCAGGGGGGACTGGGGCACCCGGGGTGGAAGTTGACCAGGCGTCTTAACACACATACCCCGCAGTACCTTCGTGGGATTCCCGTCGGGCAGAANTGAGCATCTGTTCCAGTTTTGCCTCAGTTTACCTATTTGCTGGAGCACTTCCATGGCGACATAGTGGGCTACAAGAGGAAACAGGAGGAAGAGCCTCAACAGAGATGAGAATCTCTGAAAAAAAAAACTGTGTCCAAGGGAGAAATGAAATTTGAGGAAGAGTCTGAGACCTAAGGACTTTCTTCCTTTTTAGAAAGATAAAGAGAGGGAAGTGGATTGAATTTATTAATGAGTCTGTCTCGGGGTTCCACCTTATGGCCTCCCCCTAAGAAGGCACCTGGGCCTCTCATGGTAGCCAGCTGGACAGACTCATTATGAAGGGAAGCCTATTCTTGATTCTAGACTTTTTAAGGGAAAGTTACAGTACTTAGTGCAGAGGAAAGGATACCCTTTGACTGAAGCCACATGGGTAAAATCTAGTAATGTAAAAGCCGACAGGCTCATTAATAAATTCTATGAGAAACACACTAACAAACCAAGGGGCGACCCCTAACCTATGATTTTGTTTGAATTGAAGGATTTGTCTTTTTTAAGGGGGGGGGGCGGATGTCAAGGCTTCTAACATTGGATGTTCCCGCTCTGACAACTGATGAAAATGAAGCCATTTTCCCTATTCCTTTAATATGCTTTTTCTTACCATTAGAAATCAGGTGCAGCGGGGGGTGGTGGATTGGGATGTAAGCACAGCTAGCCATAATAATAAAGCTGCTGTGGGAACACAAGGACAAGCTGACAATGTTTTGACGAGTTGAGGAGCTGAGGAGAAAGCCTGGACTTTAAGCTAATTGGGGAATGTGATTTATGACAGTTTATTGGGGGTGAGAATTGTACTTTGTTACTTTGTATCTGGGTGAAGGGAATTTAGTTTTGGGGTTAACTATGTAGTACTGATACTTTGTTTCCTGAATAAAATGTTCCTTAAGGAGGAACTTTGCCTCCAAGTTCTTTGGATGGGTTTCATCTATCAGAACCATGAGACTCGGCCTAAGTTTTCTTGATAGAGTCTTCCTTAGAACCCGCAGTTAGCTAGAATCTATTTCGACACTTACCTGAAGAAGCCAAAGAGGTTGGCCACAAACGGTTCAGTTATAAAAATTGGATTTGCAATCAAGAATTTTGCAAGCGGAGCCATTAGAGGAACAAGACAAAGTAATGTATTTTACAACCCCCATTTCGTATCATGTCCAAAACTGATTACAATGTTTTCTAACTCCTAAACTAACTTTATTATAAATAAATATGTCAAACAGCACAAGGCCTAAAATGAAGCCCTGCAATT